ACGGCTGAGCTTAGAGCTCAGAGCTGGTTCATGGCAGCACTGGGGCCACCACTAGCTTGAAATCTGGGCTCATGGGGACCTTGGATCACTGACAGTGTCTAAAAGAATCCTTAAATACTTATTTGAGTTGCCACATTAGTCATTTCAACCATATTTACTACCAAAGGTATTTGTGCTTAAAAACATGTGGCTCTTAAATGTAAGACCATTTTCTGGACAGATATACATTAACATTCAATTATTTTTTTCTAGGCTTTTGTAATATCCACCCCCAACTCTCTTTTAAACGCTGTTATGTGCTTTTGCAGGTTTTTGAATTGAAAGATAACATCACATCTACAGGCTACTTCTGGCAGATGATGGATAGATGAATGGATGGATGGATGGATAGATGGATGGATGGATGGATGGATGGATGGATGGAGAGATGGAGAGACAGATGGGTGGGTGGATAGAAGGATGGAGAGGCGGATGGTTGCTTGGATGGATGGAGACATGGATGGAGAGATGGTGGATGGATGAAGGGAAAACAAGGAATTAATTATGGATGGATAATGAATGGGTGGACATGTCATGTGTGGTTTAGATATGGTTAGATAGACATCAATTTAAACATCCACAAATATGTATATCATTTTAGATATTAATTTTATTATTCCTTACAGAAACCTAATTAATAAATGCGACTGGGTTCTACGTACATCTCACGGCACTCAAGTGAGGACAGTGCTCCCCTTCCTTGTCTGTCTGCTAACCCTCCCTCGTCCAGGAAGATGAAGAAAAGTTGACAGAATTTCGGCATCCGTCATCTTCAGACTTGTCCATCAAAGAGTAAGCCCTGGGCTTCGACTCAAGAGGACACCACCCCGTGAATTGGCACCTGCCCAGAGGCCAGGTCTGCCTACTTCCAGAAGGAGTGCTTGTCAACTCTTTAGCTTTCTGGGGGCCTCAGGTTGGCTTCCTACTGGGGACCTGTAGAGACACCTCCCCTTTCCTGCAACACCTCTCCAGGGTCCAGCCCAGAGCCTCATGGGCGCCCTCAGATGTTTCTCTCCCTCCCCCCTCCCTGGTGTGTTTACTCGCAGCAGCCAGAAAGAGCACCTTCTACCCCTCGCCTCGGTTCAGCTGCACCTCTCTACTCCAATAAACCGTTTGCGTTCCATCTGGTAAGCGTTTGCTCCGAAGACATTTCCCTGTCAATCTCTCCCGCCACATTAAAAATCTGTCATTACGATTGCATCGCCGCCTGGCTCCTGAGATTTCTGACTGCTTTATTGCTCTCCTCATTTTTTCTCTTGCCGGCTACAGCCGAGGAGCAGAAATAAAGGTTTGTTGTTGAAACATGGCCGGGAGGGAAGTAGGAGGCTCACATCTGTCAAGGCATTACCTTTCTTCAACCTGGGATTAAGGTGTTTTACGGCGCTCGCTACCGAGCAGTCACACTGAATAAATTTTCTCAGTAGAACATAAAAATGAACTCATACATTTTGAACCAAGTTGCCTTCTTCTGAGTCAACCCATATCATTACGCAGCGGCCCTAGCATGCATCCAAGAAGGACTGCTTGGTGGCTTGGGACATTCCCTAGGATCCACCCACCTCCTGCCAAGGCTGTGTTCTTTAAATGTCAGTTGAGATGAGGGAGGCCCTGGGGTTAGGGGCACACACTGATGTGAACATTCAGGCTGCCTTGCCTTGTGGGAGAGAATGGAAAGATCTAGAAGGCACCTGGCCCCAGGCTTCTCTCACTCAGGCCTGGTAAAGCCTTGATCTTCCTCTAAGAGTCAGATCAAACCACTTCCTTGGGGAGTGGCCCTTGTTTCTCCCCACTGTCATCCCTTGCTCTCCCCTCTCTGCCTGTCCTGTTGGAGCACTTATCTGTCACCAGCCAGAGCTGCTCGTCCCCTGTCCCAACTGTCTCCTTTGTCCTTTATTCAGAATCCTTAGGCTTGCAAGACTTCACCATGTCTACAAGCAGTGTGACAGCAGTGAGCTCCTGGACACACCTTCTCCTGTAGTCTCTACTGTACATGTGGCTAAAGCTGTTGGCATGGATCGTCAACGGATGGTCCTCACATTAGAGGAGGACACTGGGGCCGATGGGGCAGTCAGGAATGTTGCCTGAGGTCTGTGGGTCAGCAAAGGGCAGACCTGCGGACTGCACTGGGCAGCCTGTGCTCTTATGCGCCCTGGGGGTTTAAGGTGTATGGAACAAGGGAAGTACAGGAGACTTTCAGGTGATTTTTGAGCTCAGCTAGCTCTTGTGAAGAGGGAATGCTGGCTCCGGGCACTAGATGGTCATGGTGCCCCTATCACCACCACACAGTGCCACGTAAGGGCCACCTGAAGTCCCGTTGGGTGTTGGTGCTCTATTGTCTCCCTTTTGGTATTTGTTCCACCTTGACACACACACTCTCTCTCTATCTCTCTCTCTTCCTAAGATACCACCTTTCTGCCTGTGGTGTTTCCTGTATTCAGAGTCTGTGCACACTGAATTTCGTGAGCCCAATGACAAAAGCAAGCAGTGGCTCTGCTCGCATCATGCTCTCTGTGGAAGCGACACTTGTGCTCCGTGCTGCTTCCTCATCGTGTGTGATGACTTGGTTTCCAGCGTACAGAGGGCCTGGGTGTGGGTGTGTGCCAAAGTGCCATATCCCTGGATTCGAAGCACTATGCTGTTGCATGGGGGGTTCAGGAAGTGAGTACCTTCTGTGATCAGAGACCAGAACCTGGGGGCTGATGCTGCTTTCCGTGGTTTCCAAAGGCCACCCTGTAACCATTTTTCCAATGGCTTTCTGTTCCCTATAAACACAAAGTAGGACCTATAGGAGCCACTTTCATGTCACCACATCTAACTTCATAGGCCCTTGCATATGATGGTCATACTTTTTTGCTTGTTTGTTTTGTTAGTTTTATATTTATTTATTTTTTAATTGGAAAGTCAGATATATAGAGAGAAGGAGAGACAGAGAGGAAGATCTTCTGTCCGATGATTCACTCCCTAGGTGGCCACAATGGCTGGAGCTGTGTTACTCCAAAGCCAGGAGCCCAGAGCTTCTTCTAGATCTCCCATGTGGGTGCAGAGTCCCAAGGCTTTGGACTGTCCCCAACTGCTTTCCCAGGCCACAAGCAGGGAGCTGGATGGCAAGCAGGTCCTCTGGCATTAGAACCAGTGCCTATATGGGATCCTGGCACATGCAATGCAAGGAATTTAGATGTCCTTAGTTTTGTTCTTGGAAACAACTTCCAGCGCCCAGATTCGGCTTTCCTGGGGCGATCTTGCTGTGTGCCCAAGCGCTAGGGCCATTTCCCTTGCTTTACTCATCTCCAGTCATCTCTTCCTTTACCTAAAAACACTAGCCTTTCCCTTAAGTCAACAGCCCTCCAAACCGCTCCAGGGTGCTTCTGGGCGGCATCGAAGCCCATGCCAGTCTTCTTTGGCTCAGGCTGATCTTGTCAGATCCCATCTCAAGGCATTTGTAGGTCTTGAATGTGGCATATCTGTTTAGGGCTTGGCCAGGGGAGCTATTAAGACTAAATCTGGGCTTGGAGTTGTGAAGCACGCTTTTTGAATTAACTGAAAATCAGAAATTCTCTAAAACATGTGCATTGAAGCACTCACAGGTACAAGTTGTTAGAATCTGGGTGGGGGCAATGCAGGAGAAGGAAGGGCTGGCTGGGTTGAACTGTTCTTAAGCTCTCTTAGGCTCCAACCTTTCCCATGGAATTTTCTCACGATGGCTTCTAGAAAGGATGACTGATCAAAACCTTCCACTGCTCCCCTCATTCTCATGGGACCCAAACATTACGATGTTTAGATGAGGGAGTGCTGCTATTAAAAAGTCAAATAAGTGCCAGCACCCTGGCTTCTTAGGCTAAGCTTCTGTCTGCAAGACCAGTATCCCGTGAGGGTGTTAGTTTGAGGCCCAGCTGCTCCACTTCTGATCCAGTTCCCTGCTAACAGCTTATGAAAGCAACGGAGGATGACTCAAGTCCTGGGACCCCTGCATCCACATGCAATACCTGGAAGAAGTTCCTGGCCAGACTTCAGATCAGCTCGGTCTCAGCCACTGGAGCCACTTGGGGAATGAACAAGCAGATAGAAGATTCTCTTTCTCTCTCCCCCTCTCTGTTATCCTCTTCCTCTCCAGTTAAAATAGTAGTTTTGGAAAAGGCCAAATAAAGCCTGGTTGTTTGATATCTACACAAATAAATGAGAGGAAAAGCACAGAGATAAAATTTAGAAAAACAGATTTTCTTAAGATCTCATCTTAGTGAAGATCTTGCTTCTAAGTGACACATTGAATAAAGAATGCACAAAGCCAGTGTTTGATCTATTGGGAAGTTTTTAAATGTAGAAATTCTGTCACAATCATCTGAGAAGAGTGCATGAAAGATGCATCTAGACTGAGCACTGCTGAGTTCATCATGGAAAGTTGTTCAGTGCAAAGAAAAGTAGGCAAGCGATCAGGTAGCTGATGTCAAGGGAAGTGGCGCTTTTTGAGGACACAGGGCGATTCTATTTCTTACCAAGAGTTAAAGCAGCTCAAATCAACACGATACAGAGATGAATATCCACATGATCCAATAGCAAAGACCAGAAAGGTCAACAGGATTTGCAAGGGTGTGGGGAACAGACCTGTCACAGGGCAGCTTCAGTATGCCACATCTGCTTACAGAGTTCAGCAATAAATTATCCACAATAAAACTGTATAGATTGCTTGGTAATTCTTGCGGTATTATCATGGCCATGTGCAAAGTATCTAATGCATGATTATGGGAGCAATGGTTATAAGGGGAAAAAACGTACAAGTTTTCAGAATGTTCAACTGCACAGAAGCCATTGGCTGCAATAATTCAGATACAGAGAACAGACTAAAGAAGTCAGAAGAGACACAGTCCAAAGAACATTCCTGAGAGTACAAAGAAGAGCCAACAGTGGTCTTCTCCAAAGCCACAGATAAGGTTCTTCATAGACTCCTTCTATTGGGTCTGAGTTTGCTGCGATGTGTATATCTAACAGGTGGAGTCGTCCTTATCTGAAACTCTGAAATGTAGGTAGCAAGAGTGTTCCAGACAATTCTGAAATGTAAGTAACCAGAATGTTCCAGATATAGGAATTGGCGGGGGTGGGGGGGAGCATAGGGTACAGAAATGTTGAAACATGTGCGTATAAAGATGTATCTTGGGGGTTCTCTCCAGTGTTCTGACTGTGACCCATCCTCCAGGTTCAGTGACTTCCATTTGCAGCAGCAGCACTTGGGCATCCAACGTGTTTCAGATGTGGGATTTTTTTTAAATTAGGGTTGCCCAAAAGAACACATTGATTTTTAAGTGTTCTACCAAACCTGAGGACCTACCCTGAAGTGGCATTGGCAGAATGAAGCTTCCCAGCCACAGGCTTGTGGAAAATTGGTCTTCCAATCCATGTCAAAAGGTGGGGACACAGATTAGAACCCACCCTGCCAGACTGAACCAGTCCAGCGCCAAGACTCACACCGCTTCCTGCAGACTCAGGCACACTTCGCGCTGCCCACTTGGTGTTCTTCTGCTATGCAAAGTAGGTCAGCGGTTAGGGGCATTGTCACCAACCCCAGCCCATTCCTGATCCAGGTCATCCGCCTTGCCCTTCCTCTCATTGCCACCAGCCACTAACGTGTCAGACATGAACATCTGACTGCATCTCATTGCCGCCAGCTGCTAACCGCTGTCAGACCACTTCCTGGTAGCCCTGAGCGTTAGGTTGCCTGTGCTGAATCCTGTCCACCTTGCTGGTTAGCCCTAGTAGCCAGAATGCCCACACTGAATCCTATGCACCTTGCCGGTACCAAACTTGCAGTCAGCTGCCTGTGCTTAACCATGAGTCACTTCACTTTCTACAGGAGGAAGAAACATAAAAAAAAGAGCCTGTACATCCTGTTACGTTCTAAGCATTCTTGCACACCAACATTCTTATCAAATTAGATCAAACATATCCCAAAGACACCCTACCTGGGAGGCAACTGCATCCCCATTCTACAAATGCGGGTGCTGAGGCCCAGCTGGGAGGCGGTGAAGGCAAGGTGCGGACTGTCAGACCTCAGAGCACGCAGCGCTGGCTTCGTATCTGCCGGCTCCCCCAGACAGACACGTGAGTCTCGTTTCCACCAGGGCTGGGCTGCAGGATCGCGTTCACCGCTCTGCCTAACTTCCCTGGCCTTCAGTGGCCTCGTCTAGACTGGAGTGCCATTGGGTTGTGCTAACGCAGGGATGGGGTAACCCCCTGAGAAGCAGCCGCACCGTGCCTGGGAAAGCGCAGCTGGTGCTCCAGCTCACCTGGCCAAGGCAGCCTGTGTGGCTGTACTTCTCGGAGTTGCACAAGCAGATGCCTGAAACCTCCACTGAGTGTCTTGTTTTTTCCCACCCCCACCTAATTTTTAAAAGTTTGCTGTGTTGATATGATGTGATTTTTTCCCCTCTTACCATTTCATAAAATTGATTTTGGAGTCCAAAATGCTGTCAATGTGAGAACATTAATCTGCAATCCCCATAAGGATGTGTAATGTGATTTATAGATGCATTTTCTTTAGCTTAACAATATCATGTTCACGTTTCGGCCTTGGCGGCCTTCATCGCCTTGCCAAACTCTAGAGTTTTATTGTTGCATCAAATAAACTGAGGTTATAAATCATCTCCAGATGTCAGCCTAATTATTCAGAATGGGCGGGAACCCATTGGAGGCTGAGATTTGGACACAAGCTCTGAAGGCCAGATTCTGCCCCGCCTCACCCTCACAACGGGCTGGCTCTGGGGGTCTTCCAGGGTCTTCCGTTGTTTCCTGGGCCTGGGGTTTCCTAATGTACCCAACTTCTTCGGTGGGGGAGCCCAAGTTTCAACAGCAGACATTGACAAGCCAGCCCGGCCACTGGCATGGATGTGATGGCCCCTCTGACTCAGGGTCATCTCTTCAACCCCAGGGGAAGGGAGTCGAAGGTCTGGGGATGGGGTGGCAGTTGTTTTCTGGCCATGGGGCACTACTTCAGACTTCTGTTCCTTCAGACCTTACTTGGGCATAGAATTTTCCAGAAAATTCAACCAGAGAAAGAATACTTCTTGTCCATGGCTCCAGCCACATTCCTCAGATACTCTGGCTTGGCACTGGTGTCTCATCCTTTCCTCTTCTCTTCCTCCCTCAACATCTTGGATGCCATCTCTGCTGTTCCCACCTGCCTCTTCATCGTCAGCTTGGCTCTGTGTCAGGCACAGTTAGATGGACCAGTGTCAGGGGCCTCATTGTGCGTGTCACACAAGCTGTCATTTGGTCAACATGCTATGTAAGCGTATTTACTTCAACGACCAAGCTGTCCTAGGCAGCTACCTCATAGTGATTCGCATTTAAAATGTGAGCTTTGGGATGAGCATTTGGAATAGTGACTAAGACAAGCTTTAGGTCGCCTGCACTCCATATTGAAGTGCCTGGGTTCAGTATCTGGTCTGCTTGCTCTGATCCCAGCTTCCTCCTGGAGTGCATTATGGAGGGAAGCATGGGATGGCTCAAGCTGAGACTAGGATTGGGCGCCAGCCTCGGCTTTGGCTGTGTCCTACAGTCCTGGCCATTGAGGGTTTGGGGGACTAAACCATCAAATGACAGAGAGGCTTCATCTGTCGTCTGTCTTTGCTTCTGTCTCTCTGACTTTCGAAGAAATCAACAATAAAAATGTGAGAAAACATACATATTGGCATCGTGACTGTGTTCCTGGCTCAGCCATCAAGACAGGAGGAGCCTGGGGCATGGCAGTCCCAGCATCAGTGTCAACACCCTGTCAGCCCCTTCCCCTCCCTCCTGCTCATCAAGCCCACCAACCTCCACCCTGTGGGGCAGGTGCACGGGGAGCGACCCTGAGCCTCCTCTCCAGCCCTCAGGCTGTGGTTTGTTCTGTGAAGGGACGGCCGGTGCAGGGTGTACTTCAAACGTGACAGGCCCCGCTCAGAGCTCTGTGTGTTCAGGGCGCAGTGGAGGGAAGCGCTTCCTTGGATGGTCTTGTGAGCGTGTGGGAGGGGACCTGTTGTCCCTCAGTTTCTTGGTGAGATGTTTTCAGGCCCCATTCTCCTTCTCATTTGTTAATGCTAGCAAAGAGAAATGAGTAGGAGGGGAGGTGAAAAAGGGCAAGTTGTCTGAGGGGCAGCACGAAGCAACCCCGAGCCTCTAAGGCTATGTCACTGAGGAAACGGCTCAGTGTGAGGGCAAGATGTGAGCGTGACTACATGGCCAGGTGCCGGGAGGGTGTGAAGGGTTAGGATTAGGTGTGAACCGAACTCACAGAAGGGAGACCTTGACAGGAAGGAGGAGACTCGGTCAGCCCCCCACAGGTCCTCAGAAAAGGTCTCAGGCCACAGGCTGGGGAAGAGGAAGTCGAGGGGGCCTAGAGGTCAGCAACAGGCACTTGGGGTGAGTCACACACAACCAGATTTCAGTCAGTCACACCCAGAGTTTCAGCGTCCAGCTGTTGATGCAGGACACCCGGAGTTCAGTCGAAGACACTTGCAGTTGATGAACACATTCAGCTCGTCAGAGACAACAAGAGTTCAGTCAGAAACCCAAATTTCCTTGTGATTCAGTCAGAGACACCCAAACGCACCAAGAGTTCAGTCAGACACAGTGTTGCATTTCCTCAGAGTTCAGACATGCAAAGGTCAGCTAGGGATGGGGAGATGCAAGCAGCACACTGAGACTGCGGGACAGCTGTTCCACCTGGCAGCCAAGATGCCAGTCAGGATGCCCACATCCCACAGAGCTGGGCCTGGACTGGCCTCCGACGCCAGCCGCCTGCTAACGCTGACACTGGGGAGAGGGCTGATGGCTCAAGGAGCTGTATCCCTGCCACCTCCATGGCAGATCTACGTTGAGTCCCTGGCTCCTCACGTTAGCCCATTCTAAGGCTGGTCATTGAGGCTGTTTCAGGGTGAACCAGAACATAGCAGTTCTGTTTCTGTCTTCCCTAACGAAGATAAAAAAGCACAAACACCCCAAATTCATTCAGATAGACAGAAATCAGTCCAACACACCAGGATTCAGTCTGAACCTTCAGTAATGGAAGACATAATTCACTTTGTTCTTTGGAGAATATATAAGAAATATTTGAGGGTTTTGTCATCCATCTTCCAATAGCATACCATCACTCCATTTTAGTTCTGAGATATCTTCCTCAAGTCTCTTTCTCTATCTGCACTCAGCGGTGAGTGTTCAGAAGGGGGTGGGAATGAAGTTGATCCGAGTGTCTGGACCGTCTCCGGGTGGCTCGAGGGCTTGGTGTGCTCTGTAACGTGGATCTGGACAGCCCCAGCAGACCCTATTGTATATGAATGCACAGCTGAGACAGTGCCTAGCTCCCATTGACAGCTCTGTGACACCTCACCGGATGTGGGCTCACTGTTGCTCAGCTGACAGGGCCAGTATGGTGGCCAATGTCCAGGCTGGGGCCAGAGTCCAGGACAGAGACACTTTCTGTGGAAGGCCCCGAACTTTGCGCAGGAGATGGAAGATCCACCACCTTAAGGGGCTAAAGCGAGATATCCACCTGTACCCACAAACTTATACCACAACAGAAGTCAATGCAAGCACCTGTGGGTGCTGAGTGCTCTAGGGTGGGCCCTTATGGGTTTTCTGTCATCTTCCCATCATTGGGGCCCATGCCAAGGGACATCTGAGGCACAGGTCTGATCTGGGACACTCCAGGCTTAGGCGTAACTTAACTTCTTCCTGTCTGTGTCTCACGCCTTCGTTCCTGGGAGCAGGAGAAGCTGACCTAGGGGACAGCAGGTGGGGCAAGCACCAAGTCTGCTTCCACAGAGCTCTGATCCTGACTCTAGCCCCAGGGATGTGAACTTGACACTAACTGCATAGACGGAACTACCCTATTTTCACAGCCGGCGCAATGCCTGGTGATTATAGCGCAGTCCTCGTCAGCCAGTGTCTGGGCTCCCTTCCCAGCTTTGCCTCTAGAGTTCAGCTTCCTGACGACACAGATCCAAGGACACAGCAGTGCTGCTCAGGCATTTGAGTCCTATAGCGGAGGCCTGGACTGAGTTCCCAGCTCATAGCTTCAGCATGGCTCAGCCCTGCTAGTGTGGGCATTTGGGGAGTGGATCTCAATCTCTCTCTCTCTCTTTATATATATGTGTGTGCATATCCAGCCCCAGGGTAAAGGGTGAGTGGCTGAATGAGCTATGGACAGCCTGGCAGGCTTCTCAGGCAGCAAAGGCAGCCAGTAGGACATCTGAAGGAACAGGACAAGCAAAGGACAAGTAGTGGCAGGGCAGGTGGCTGGTGTGGGGCAGGGCAGAGCCAGAGTATAGATAAAAACAAACAAAACAAAACAAAAAAACCTGAGCCAGGGAACAAACTAGGAAATCCCTGGAAGAGCTGCGCTGCCTCTGGTTGTGTGCTGCGCTTGGCCCTGCTGACACTCAAGGCTGGGCCTTCCCTGAGTGGGACTACCTCCCACACTGCAGGGTGTGGACCAGCACACCTGGCCTGGACCCACTAGGGGCCAGTAGCAGCCCTTCTCCAGTAGAGACACCAAAATGTGTCTCCCCAGACATCATCAGTCATCCCCAGAGGGACAGTCTGGGTTAAGAAAGTTGCTCTCCAACAAAAGCTGCATGAATGAGGCAGTGGGGACCAGAGTGGCTTCAGCAGGCAGCAAGCTGGAAGTTATACAAGGCCTCACTCTGCACTTTAGGCCTCAGGGCCAAGGCCCAACACAGGATAGGTCCTCAGACAGCAGACACCAAGCCTTCCTTTCATGCAGACTGAAGTCTGTGTGCCAAAACATCTTGACTCAACACGGATGAGTTCCTGTGGGGCTGCTGTCCCTCGGGCCAGCAGGCTGCGGTGGGCACCACCCGAGAGTTCGGACCATGCAGGGTGGCTGTTTATGTGTGTGCCCAGGGCTGCCTGCTAGGCGTATTAGAGGCCATGAAATAATGATGAGGCCTCAGAGGGTAATTAAAGCCACGGTGACATTGATCTGCTGAGATTTCTGAGTGAGCCCAGAACACACGGGGTGACTCTCCATCTTACCTCATGCAGGCCTGGCCTGATTGGCCCCCTGGGCATTGCTGGGGCCTCTGAACCTCACCTGTGGCCGGGAGATTCCCAGGGCAGCAGCCAAGCTGGCTTCAGAGCTGTGCAAAACAGGCAGCCTGGACCTGGGCGGGGAGGAACCCAGGTGGACCTGGGGGTGAGCCCAGCTGCTGTGCCCTGCACTGGAAAGACAGGAGCAGGCAGATCTGTTAAAGACACAGTTCTCCCTCAACACAGTGTTGGGAGTAAACCTGTTCTCCAGGTCCCAAACACCGGGCAGGGCCAGCTGCCTGGGGGCTGGGCGTGTTTGTGAGTGTCCTCTGGGACCCAGGACCTGCCGGAAAGCTAACCATCTGAGTACAGTACAGCTGGGAGTGACATTGAAAATTGGTCTACCTTCACACAGTTGAAAATCCACTAGTTTCTTAAGACAAAGGTCATTGCAAAATTGTCCACTTTGTCAGGAACAGCGATTGCTGATGCTGATTAGTTGCTTGCATGTTCACTGCTGTCTTGGCTCAGTTTTAACCTTGGCAGTGTTGAGTAGGATTCACTCAGAGAGTCAGATTTTGTCACCCTGGCTGTCTCGTTGATCTTGGGTAAATGACTTGAGCCTGCTGTGCCTTAGTCTACCCGTTAGTACACGGGGGAATAATCAGTACCATAGGTTGCAAAGGAGGCAGAGAAAGGGTGTGTATGCTGGGAAGTTGTTTGCTCACTGCTTCCCTAGGTCTGGGGGCCAACCTCTCCCACCTTCAAGATCCCTGAGTCCTGATGATGCTGTGGTGTCATCTTCAGCAACCCACTGCACAGATGACAAACCAGAGGCAGAAATCTTTCCGAATTGCGATTCCACACAAGTTTGGGGGTGCTCAATATGAAGAAAACCAGGTCGCTGGAATCAGACCTGCCAAAGTGGGGGCCCCGCCGGGAGGTCCCACGTGCCTTCCTTCCTGCCCAGCTGGCCCAAAGCCAGCCTGCACTGTGTCGTCGCTGCCTCTGTTCTCCCTCTGTGACGAGCTGGCCTGTTTTTCACCCTCAGCTCTGCTGTGCCGCAGGGGGATGGGAGCTGCGGGTCTGAGCTCACACTGTAAAGGAAGTGGCAGCCTTTGGGCCGGGAGGAGGGCCAGGCCCCTGGGCCTTGAAAAACCAGTCCCACGTGTGAGAGAGTGGGCGCCTGCGGTTGAGGTGCCTCCGAATGTCAGGACACTCTTTCTCCCTGCTTGTGAGCGGCTGTAAGGGTCTTCTGGCTGTGGGGGAAATGTTCCAGGGAGTTCCAGACTTCGAGAAAGGTCCCCTCTCCTTTGAGCTCCTCCACATTCTACCTTGCTTTTGTTTTTGGTCTAATTTTAGCTCATGAATATTTATCTTTATTTGACACTTCAAAACTATGTGTTTGTAGGGTAACCTGGGATACTCCTGGGAAAGAAGTACATCAACAATGAGGATGTAGCGAGGGAGCACCCAGCTCACACGGTTCCAAGGCGCACACACAGTCCTGCCCAGACCCTCACTGGAGGTGCAGGGGTTGCATGGGGTCGACGGGTCCACGGATTGAGTGTAGAGCTGCTGCCATCACCCTCCAAGGGCTTCTTCGGGAACCACTAACCCCAAGCAGCATTTATGGAGCTGTTGCTGTGCCTGAAATCTGTCTGGGTCTCTGGGACAGCCCAGCTCCCTGCTCAGGATGCAGCTGGAGGCTGGGGACCTGTGCCATGTGCAGCCCCAGCAGGCGGGCAGCAGCTGGCCCGTGATTGCCGACTTCAAGAGTGTCCTCTGCTTTGCGTGTTCTGTGCTTGCACCAACATCAAGTCGACACACCAAAACCATGCAAGCCGTGTGGTCTCCCGAAGCAGAGAAAAGGCTTCTGGGTTCTCATACCCACTCCTGTCCCATGATTCCCAGCGAGGTTTGCCAAGTCAAAGTCAGCCCCAGCGTTTACCTGGATGGACAGAAGCCATGTAAGGAGATTTATAGCATGAAGTGTGAGCAGTCACCCATTTGCTGCTGGAACATGATGGTGCTCTAAGCCAAGGTGCTGGCCCTGACTTCTCTTGGGCTTTTACACAGTGTGTAAGACCCATGCGGTTTCTGACATGTGCCCAGCTCTGCTTTCTCTGTGACACCTGCCCAGGCGCTTCAGAAAAGGACTTGTGAAGCCACCTGGCCAGCCTAGAGTCCCGCTTGGGAACTGTGCCCCACAGACAGTCTTGGGTAGGGGCGGCTGTGGAGGTTAGAGACATCAGTTGATCTTGACCTCAATTCTGGTCTGTACAGCTGAGCCCTGTGGCTTTGTCAGGCAGCTTGGAGCTCACCAGAGCCTGGGGCTGCCCTCTTTCAAAGGGAGGTGAGAGCGACAGCGTCTTCCTCGCAGGGCAGCTGCAGGCCACGCGCGGGTTCCAGCATACGGGAGTTACTGTAGCAGACCCTTTGTGACTCTCGTGGGAGTTGTGTCTTCTCCTGTGCTCCTTGTGACCACCTCCAGGCTCAGTGCAGGGAGGAACACCTTGTTCACGTCAGGGCTTGGTCCCCTGCACACACGAGGAGGTGACCCCTGGGAGCCTGGGGCTTAGGAGGAGGTGGCAGTGCTGGAAGACCTGCTGAGGCCATGGCAATTAGCAGAACCTTAGACCTTTTCCCTTTTAATTAGCTGTCCCTGACCTGGTGCTTCAGGGGCCCTGTAGGCCTCTCAGGGAGCACCCAGGGGTGTTGCCACTCACACAGGAGGCTCAGGCCTGACCACAAGAACTGAGTAAATAGGATGCACTTGGCCTTCCAGAGGGCCTCAGGGTGATGATGCAAGAACGCCTTCCCCGTGAGCAGATGCACACAGGCCCCGGAGCACAGGCAGAAGGCAGAATCCCAGCTCCCGTGCCCTCTGCCTTCTGCACTCCTGGAGGGGTGGATCTCCTTCATCCCCGCCCCCCGTCTCTTGGTCTCTATCTCCTCTGTCCATTTTGCTCTTGCCTTGGGTCTGTCTCTTGCTCTGCTTTCCCCTGCGTGTGGCTATGACCTCCCAGAGCCGCCCTTCTCGGTCTCTGCCCAGGCCTTTCTCTTAGTGTCTCCTTGCATTCAGAGGCTCTCCAAGCAAACAGAAATAGGTGTGGCAGCTGCTGGTCCCTCTTGCCCTGAGCCCAGGGCTCCCCCTGGCAAAGCAGCAGTGTTGTCTGTTCTGGGAGAAGTGTCTAGTTCTGTTTCCAGCACAGGCATTCGTTTCAGAATCAGTGTGGAACAGTGTGGATGCAGCAATTAGCAATGCAGCACCTGTTCAGATGGCGGCCTGGGAATGGGAGCAGAAAAGAGAATAAGCCATGCATAGTGTTTCACAAGATGGGAAGTGCTCCCAAGGAGACCTGAGGAGCACACAAGATGGGAAGTGCTCCCACGGAGACCTGATGATCATGAGGCAGGCAAGAACAATTGGAGAAGCCTTCACTAACAAGGGGATCTTGAGGTGAAGTGGCACTGAGAAATGTGTTATGAACTGGAGAAAGGGCATCCCAGGCAGAAGGAAATAGATTGTATGAAGGCCTGTTTCAGGCTTCTGAGATGAAACCTGCTGGGCCTTTGTAAGGCTCACCAAGGAGTCCACTAGTGATGGGAGAGGGCCAGGGGAGCTGAATCCACTGGTGATGGGGAGAGGGAGGAGACAGCTGAATCCACTGGTGATGGGAGAGGGCCAGGGGAGCTGAATCCACTGGCGATGGGGAGAGGACCAAGAGCTGAATCCCCTTGTGATGGGGAGAGGGCCAGGGGAGCTGAATCCACTGGTGATGGGGAGAGGGCCAGGGGCGCTGAATCCACTGGTGATGGGGAGAGGGCCAGGGGAGCTGAATCCACTGGTGATGGGGAGAGGGCCGAGAGCTGAATCCACTGGTGATGGGAGAGGGCCAGGGGAGCTGCATCCTGCTCACGACCACCCATGGGGATGAGGAAACTGTGGGCCAAAGGATTTCAATTGCTTACTCCCATGACAAATGTTCCAAGTAAGTTTTAAGCTAAAACACCAATCCAAGCTAGCCACTTTTCAGAATGCCTCGTTGGAGTGGGGAATCCAGCGGCATCCAAACACCTCGTACCAGCATGCAGGTCTAGTCTGATTAAGGGCTGAATCCCATATTGTGGAAGCAGTTTCCACAAAGAGGATCGTGAAAATTCAGGCATCAGACGCTTCTCAGCCCAGTTCGCCTTAGAAGGGCAGCGTGAAGAGAGGCTAAAACCCGCACCTCACACATCCGTCACTCTGAGCAAAGGAAGCCGAGTCTCACACAGACGGACCACCGTACTCCAGGCCCACAGACAGGAAGCAGCAGGCTCTATAGCTCAGACCTTTCCATATCCCACAGTGCATGAACCTCCTGTGGAAGTGCCAGGCAAGACTGCAAAACAAAAGCAAAAGGAACCACAAAACAAACAGCCATTGTTGTCCTCTCACTGCAGTGATCGGATTTGTGTGTGATCATCAACAACATTTACGGACAAAGGTTATTTTCCATTGAGAGAAAAAAAAGTTACTTTTCAACCTCCCACCTGATGCCTCTTTCAAATAGTGAAACGTGATTCTGAAAGAATACCTACATGTATTTGTAACATGAGTGGGAAGCTGGACCCATCAACGAATCATGGTTTCGACAAGGCTCGCATCAATTCAAACACGTGTGAGGTGGACGTCAGGGGGTGAATGTGGGTCTGGGAGAAGGGAGAGGGTGTCCCCCGCCTCTCCATGCTCATTCACAATAGGCCACAATGATTCATTCACCAACTTGTCTACTTCCTTGGCTCCCGCACGCTCTCATCCCTTCTCTCCTTTTGTTCTTCAATGGACAAACGTTTTCTTGAATTGGGTCTCAAAGTCACAGCTAGCAGCTGAACACTCAAAGAGCAGTGGGATACAGTCCCTGCAATACCCGGAATCAAGTTTATTTACAAAAAGCCAGGTCAGCTGGCTTGCTGTGAAGCCCTCCCCTTGCTACAGGCCTGAGAACCAGCCACAACATCAACAGGGGGTTAGGGACTGGCTTCTTCCAACTGTGCCCATAAAAACTCAGGAGCAGAGGTTCAGCGCATCCATCAAGCCTGAAGGGAATACCCTGCTGATGCAGTCTTGGGCCCCAGGACTCCGCAGGGGCACCCAGTGGGCAGAGAGGCCTGAAGCCTGGGCAGCGGTGTGTGTCACAGACAACGCAAGGAAAGGACACAGGTTGCTCTTGACATGGAAATATTGATTATTTGAGATTCTGAAACCCAGAGTGAGTCATATCCTCTGGCAGGAAAGCCCCCACCCCAGTCCAAATCTAGGTTGAGCTGAAATCCTGGAAACAGAGTAGGGGCCCCTCAGTCACCATGCTCCCAGGATCCCTGTTCTGACCAGACGTACCCGAACAGACCCTTGACTCTGTGCTCGCTCAGGGTTTTCTGAAGATTGGGAGGCCAGGGTCACCTGGCAAGGGGACAACTGATAAGACTACCCCTCTGCTGGGAGACGGGGTTCTAGTCTCTGTAGGCAAAGTGACAGCCTTTGTGAGCCCGTGTCCATCATCCACAAGTGAAGGGCTGTGTATATTCCTCTTAACTGTGTTAAAAACAGACCCATGTGCATACGCACGCTCCTTGATCTGTGGTCCATGGATGATTAAGAAGGGTATACGGACAGAACCCCATCTAGTGCAGATTCTGCGTGTGTGTGAAAGAAACAGACCTCTGTATGCGATATTGCGGACATACCTATATAAGCAGTTCAACCTAAAGTTGGTCTTAAAGTATTATTTTCACCCCCACAACTTTCCGACGGCCCTGGCATG